TCTCGTGTTCAGGACCTTGTGCTCCCCGGGGATGACTTCGCTCTTACTCTGAGGGAGGCGGGAGCCACTGGAAGGTTCTGAGCTGAGACGGCTGTGAGCGGACGAGGTTCCCAGGCGCCCTCTGGCGGCCGCGCGGGGAACACGGCGGAATCCCGCCCAGTAGGAGACGCCTGCCCTAGTCCAGGTGGTGGGCGCTGGTGAGTGGACCCGAGAGATGCGCCGTTTCTCCTCAAGCCCCTGGGGGGTTTTGTGGGTGTGAAGCTGATACACCGGGTCTCGGAGGTGGACCACCTCCTTGCCTAGCTCTACACCGACTTCCGGCTTGTGCAAAATAAACAGAGCCCGAACATGATGAGCAACGTTTGCGGGGTGCTCACTGTGGGCGCCGAGCCATCTGGAAAAAGCGAGAGGCCCAGAACGGTGACCTCGGAGCCCAAGTCACCTGGGAACAGCAGGGTCGGAACCCAAGACTGGCAGAGTCCAGAGTTCAGCGAGTAACTACCAGGCTCGACGGCTGCCTTCTACACCGTTTGTTTGTTTGTTCGTTTGTTTGTTTTCCAATTGTGGTAAAATATGCATAACATAAACTTTGCCATTTTAGCCATTTTTAAGAATACCGTTCAGCGGCATTAAGTGCACTCACATTGCGCAACCATCACCACCATCCACCTACAGAACATGTTTCCTCTTGCAAAACTGAAACTCTGTCCCATGAAACAATACCTCCCATTCCTCCTCCCCAGGCACCGTTCTCCTTCCCGTCTCTTTGAATTTGACGGCTCTAAGCGCCTCATATGAGTGGGATCATATAGTATTCATTCTTCTGGGGCTGGCTTATTACCCTTGACAATGTCTCCGAGGTTCATCCACGTTGTAGAACGTGCCAGAATTTCTCCATCCAGTTTTGATAGATGGGGGAAGGAGGGAGCTAGAAAGGGAAAAAAAAAATCTGAACAAAAATGAACTGTAATTGAAAAAAAAATAAAAATTTAAAATTTTTTAAAGGGAAAATAATCTGAACTTGTGCCTTGGGGTGGAGTCTCCAGAGGCTGCAAGACCGTCAGGGAAGGTGAATGACACCCAGAGTTCCTGATTCAGAGAGCAGGGAGACGGCGAGATGAGACAGCAGTCCCACTTATTCAGGGCTCGAAACGTATTTAATGAGGCAGGGTAGTGGTGACCAGGATCCCCTTCCTAGAATAATGTCATTAAATGCATAAACTAAAACCCACAGCATTACAAGGGGGCCAATTACACTGAAATACAGTTATCTGCTTATTTAAAAACCCGCTCGCAATTACACAGAGCTAGCGGTGGGTCTGATTGGTGATGAGCGACCAGTTACTGGAAATCATCAAAGCAACCGAAATGTGATGAAAACGTGGGCGATTCCTCTCGGCGACAATGACACAGGTCCTGCTCACGCTATTATGTCTTGTGGCTCACATTTGGGAGGGAAAGGACACCCTGAATTTCAGTGTAAGGTCCAGATGTCATTTATTTTTCCCGGTCCAAGTCCACGGACCCTCTTGCATTTCACCTGAGGATGTGGCAGGCGGACAAACCCTGGGGTGGACTTTCTGTCCTTCACTCCTGGGACTGGAGACTGTGCTTCCTTGTGCCTCAACTTCTCCATCTGAGAAAGGGATCAATAACAACAAGAAGAACAGAAACTCACCTCCCAAGGGGAAAGGAGATGGTCCACGCCAAGCTTTTAGAACGGGTCCTGGCTCACGGTGATAATAACATTCCTTATCATTAAGTCCCCAGCCTTTTATTTACATATATATATCCCCCCGATTATGTACATGACCGCATTTAACCGATGAAAGATTTACCGGGGGAGGAATTTAAAATAGGTAAGATTAAAAATAAATAAAAATCACTTTAAAAAAAAAGAAATAAAATAAGTAACAGATATATTCTGGCCGATGGTGATAAGAGCTAAGAAGAAAAATGAAGACAGCCCTGAGGTGAGGTGTGGGGGGTGGGAGGGAGTGACAGGGTAGGTGGGGTGCACTGAGGCGGGGTGCCATTCCAGCAAAGCCCCAAGGGAAGTGGTTCTGTAAAGTAAGACGGATGGGGAAACTGAGGCTCGGAGAGGCAGAGTCGCTTCCCCGTGGTTCTCCAGCAAGCGAGCAGCACGTCTGGGACTGGCCGCAGGCCGCGTCTGCTCTGGGTCCGGCCCGGGGAGAAAGCAGCCACTCACTGACGGGGCGCGGACGGATCATCAGGGCTGATGTGTCGGAAGCACCTGCTACGGGCCGGGCGTGGCACTCGGCTCTGACCGATTTCTCTGGGTTTTCTGAATTCACTACTCCCGACTCAGTTGACCCACCTGTCAAATGCGGATAATCGTACCTACTTCGCAGGGATCGCCTGAGAATTCAAAGAGCTTCGAGCGGTGTTTGCACATAGGAAGCGCTCAGTGCGTGTTAGGGGTTCATTCGACAAGTCCTTATCAAGCCCGTTCCGTGGGTCAGGAGCTGCGGAGGCCGGGGACACCGCAGAGAACCACCCAGTGGGAAATCCCTGCCCTCGTGTAGAGCGATGATAGGAACTGTGGAGAAGAACAAAGCAACCGTAACGGCCGGATGGTGGGCGCCGTGTTAAAACAGAGAAATCGGGGAGGGCTTCTCGGAGGAGGTGGCGTTTGCGCAGAGACCTGCAGGAGAGGAGGGAGCAGGCCATTCCTCTAGAGTGGAGGGCCGAGGCCCTAAGGTTGGAGGGTCGTCAGTGTGTTGGAGGAACAGCCAGGGGTCCAGAGTGACTGGAGGGCAGTGAGTGAGGGGGAGAGGGAAGGAGGCGGGAGCAGAGGGGACAGGGGCGCAGGCAGACCCTGCAGGGCCTTGTGGGGCCCCTGCTTTGGCTTTTACCTTGAGCGAGAGAGGTGCCAGGGGGTTCGTGAGCTGAGGACTTTCGTGAACTCAAGTCTTTAAATT